ACCAATTGTTGTTCCGACTTCTTGAGCAACGCGCTTTGCTAAACTCATTGCGGCAACTCTTCTAGGTTGGGTTATGGCAATACAACCACCTTTTGATGCCATGCCAATTTCCATCAAAAATTGTGGAATTTCTTAAAAATAATCAACTGTTAATTTTTATAATTTATGAAAAAATACATTGATAATACCAGTTTCATACATACGCGTGCTTTTCCCACTTCCCATTTCACCAATTATCACAATCGTATCATTATTTCGAATGCTATCAATTATCAGATCACGTTCTTTTCTACCAAAAAATCAATTATAAATTATTTATATTTATTTATATTCAAAAAGCTATCCTCCTTATAAACAAGATATACCTTTCCAAATAGGAAGTTCTTTACGAAAAGATTTTAAATTTGCCGCAATTTGTAATAATTTCTTATGATCATCTTTCTCATGTTTAAATTTTTTATTGTTTCCAAACTTTTCAATTTTTTGATTTGAGGTGTTGTTATCAAAATTTATTGTGCGTTTGACAGGTGTTTTCAATTTTTCAGATTGACTTTTTTTCAGAGAATCCATCTCGATGAAATGTGACTCAATATTTGGCCTTTACATCTAAAATCACATGCTTAACTAGCCATTAATTTATTGGATGAAATTAACAAGGGTTTAATTAATACTTAGTATTGATAAAAACGCACAATTAACTACGTGTCGACTATAATTTTTATCACTCAATATCATTACAATGGTTTTTCACAAAAATTTATTAAATGCGAGCAGTAATCGGTCAAATCACAAATACTAGGTTTCTTCATTTGATAGAACCATTGACAACAGTAGGAACGGTGCATACACCATTATCTGTTCTTAGTAAATGAACACTTTGATCTGCGCTATCAATCCAGGATGCTTCTTTATTACTTGTAGTAAGCAAACCAGGCTGCAACGTCTCCCAAACTTTTTTCTTAGGATTAAGTTGTGGTTCGGGAGAACCATCTTTAATGATGATAAAAATGAATGAATAAGATCAAATGAAAGATAAAAAAACATAGGAAGAGTTCTTCTTAATCAAACCTTTATAGCCTTCAAAATATACACGTTCGCCAGGTTGAGAGCCAGCTGGTGGTTCAACTAATTCAACCTTGCCCTCTGATGATGTCGCGCAAAGAACCATAGCAAATGATTTTATGCCACGCATTCTAAAAATATATAACAAATCAATTTAGCCATTACCTATAAAGAAACTCGTAATATGCAACTAAACTTACGCTGCTGGTTTTAAATTACATAATAATACTACATCACGATCCTATGAATTATGTAAGACATTGATCTAGACAATTCTGCGAGACA